ATAATAATAATAATAATAATAATCTGAAGCTCCTATGTTGAATAGTTTTTGAGGTTATAAGCATTTTTGTATGTCCAGAGACCCCCACTTTGAAAGGAGCCCCCTCCTCAAATATGAGGTCTATCGTAAAACCGTTGGCTGGCGCAGTGTAGGTCGGCAAGTAGGGGTCTCTGCGGAYGAGTGGGTGTGTCACAAGGAAAGGGGATTCTAAAGCGACACGCCTGATTTGACGTATTTGTTAAAGGGACACATCTGACTGGACAAGCAAAAAAGGGGCGATACCATATGGCACCACCTCATTGGACAAGAACAAAAGGGGCGTTACTGTACGGCACCACTTTTTCTGGAGAACCCTACTCGGGTCACATTTCTCCTGGTTAACCTTAGTGTTGGGGTCAGGGTAAGGCTGTAAAGACATCAAGCAGGATCTAAGGATACCGTCATGTAGGCCTCGTAGCCCACAGTGTTTATACTTTTGACACGCCCACTCTTGTGACACGCCCACTTTGATTCCTCAGATAACCCCTTCTCTGGGTCGGACTCATCTACAGCCCTGCCAAATTTCATGTTGACCGGTGCAGCTGTTTTTGTGCTATGGCTGACCAAATATCACTGGAAAAAAAAAACATAAAACTGTACGAAAACAATATGACTCCCGCTTACGGTTTGCGTGAGGGGGTTATAATCATCTTGTGATTGTTTGTGGCAGATCACACAAACAAACAAAAAATGTTCTGAACACAGAAAAGTTCATCTTATCCAGGGGTGTCCAATCCTGGTCCTTGTGGGCATCTATCCCGTGTGTTTTACTTGTGTCGCTGCTCCAACACACCTGATCCAGTGATTGAATTACCCTCCATGTTTGCAGAAGCTTGTTAATCACCCATTCATTCAAGTCAGGTATGTTGGAGCAGATAAACCACTAAAACATGCAGGGCAGTGGCCCTCGAGGAACTTTTATGGCAGGCTTGTGGTTTTGTTTTTAATGCAGATAATTAAAGGCCTAGTGTACCTAGGAGGAATACGTATCACCTGCTGCTCTTCATGTCAGTGTTGAACTAAAATCCTCTAACGTTGAGAAATTACAGACTTGTAGTCATTTGGGTCAAACCTTGTAATTGAGGATGCTCGTGATGTCATGCAATACTGTGAGATCTCGCTGATGTGTAACACTCAGGAGTGAATCTATGACCTTAAAGTTGGTATCTATAAACTTTACTTAATAACCTTTTTTTGTWGGTTTATTACCTGTTCTATTAATCTTGAACTCATGGCGACTCCAAAAGCTAATTGGCTGTAGAAGCACATTCAATGATTGCTTTCTTGGAGTTTCATTAAAATAGGTCCAGTGGTTCATGATGGGATTTTACCTAATGTGTAAGGGGATGATGCTTAACTACCACCGCATTTTAGCTCAATATCTATAAAACTGTCTGAGATCAAATCATTTTTGTACTTGTATAGCCACTTAGCTATGGTGGCTTGAGTCCAAAAGTTAGGTTGTAGATGTCCATCTATTCATAACTTTCAGTAAAATTTGTTAAGCTCTTGCTAATGAGGTATTTGGCTAACACTTCAGGCAAAAACATTATTGCCTTTGGTAGGAGATTAAAAGAAGTGGTTTAAAGCACAAAGGCTGTTTCCAGTATCTGCTGACCTTTAACCTTGGTTTGAGGACGTTGTTGATTGTTTTAGTGAACACTGGAGATTGACAGTTACTGACTTTGCCGCTGGCGTTTAAGACTGACGTGGGCCTAGTGTCAGGACACTGCAGTCAAAAGACATCGTGTACATGCCACAGGCTTTAATAAAATGGCAGAACGCGATGTACTTGGAATGTGAATTGGTTGATTAGAACTTAAAGTGAAAGCCCTGGGGACGCATTTGGTTCCTCATCCATCTGCTCTGTTTCTACCTTCTGCTGTTTTTTGCAGTTTTATTCTTTGTAATTTTTGCATTAAAAAAGTTACAAATCKTAGCATAAGTTGATATRRTTTCAGTTTAATGYRGTGGTAGCTGAGAGTCATCTTTAACMCATTGGGTGCTAACACATCACAAGTTACTGCAATGATACATAAGGCTGGTTCTAATGCTATTTTCATATTGTCCCCCCTTTTTTTTAAAGTGATTTTAATCTAAAAGTCTAGCATGAAAGGAGATGGCAAACCAATTTTCCTTCAAAGAATTCGAAGTCTTTGATTTGTTTTACACATCTTGGTTTTATCTATAGTTTACCCATATTATTTTTTTGCACTTTATGAACCAAAATCTGTTTTTTAAATGAGGTTTTATGTGAGCTGTTCATTGCAGCCAACAAATAAAGCCACATAAACATTTTTTTATCCATACCTATTGTTATACAGGCGTGAGCAGAATCTGTAGCGGTAAATGTACTGATATAAATAAGAGACAGGAGACATAAGAAGTTAGAAACCTACAGCAGTCATAGTTTGATTGTTAAAAAAATAAACAGAGGCTTAAAGTTGGATATATAGTTCCTATCTTTACAAATAGACCTATTTATATGAAGTAATGGCTCACCCTCTCCTCCAGTTTATTAGCTAATGCTCTGAATAAGCTTTATTGTGCTGTTGGGCTTTTCTATAGTCTTTTCTATAGTCTTTTCTATAGTCTTTGCAGTACCCTCCAACATAACCATAGACTATAATTTGCTGGCAGAGG